GGATGCCCGGCCTGGCTCTTCACGAGGCAGCTGCTGGCCACACAAGGCTTTCTTCCCAAGGTCACGCAGAGCGGTTTCCTCGTGAAACCTGGGGAAGGTAGCCTCATGTGGCCAGCAGGTGCCTCACAAAGGGCCATGGTGAGCACACTCATCAGCAGCAGGAGCAAGAAGATGGCAAAGGTCAGCTGGGCCAGTGGAGCACAGGGCAGCAGGGGCCTTGGATTGCAGGGTGGTGAGGGTGACTGTGGCTGGGACTGGGCTGGGGCTTCCTGGAATGTAGTGGCTTTGCACCACTCTGTGGGGGTTCCTCAGGCACTGCAGCTTTGTGCTGTGCTACTGGGGCTTCCTGGGATGCACCGTGCTTTTGGGGCTTCTCAGGGCACTGCGGCTTCACGCCATGCTGCTGGGGCAGCGGAGGCTTCCAGGAGTGGCTGCAGCTTTGCGCTGCACTGTGGCTCAGGGGCTTCTTGCAGCCCCAGAGCTGTGGCATGCCAGGAAGCCCCTTTGTACTGTGCTGCTGGGCTGGTCTGGGGCTGGGCCTCAGGGGCTTTTTGCAGCCCCAGAGCCACAGCGTGTCAGGAACCCTTTGCATCATGCTGCTGGGTCGGGCTGAGGCTGGCTTTCCGCTGTGAAGGGCTTTGCGGTCTTCTTGCAGCCCCAGAGCCACAATGTACCAAGAGCCGCAGTGCTTCTTGCAGCCCCTGAGCCGCAGCGTATTCTTTCCCTGGCCTTCCTGAGCTTGCACCACACCTTAGCAGTCCCTCCCCCAACTCATTTGTGATCTGCGCTGGTCCTCCCAGCCCTCCCCTCCCCCCCCCCCCCGCAGCACCCTCATCTCCTTACCTGGGACTCCCACCTCTTCCTGCTTAATTGCCTGTGCATCTTGGGGTTAAAACGGCAACCGGGACTACCTGGGATTGCCGTCGCTAAAACATCATGCTTTATGACCACATCACTTAGCAATGGAAATTCCAGTCCCAGTTGTGGTTGTAAGTTGAGGACTACCTGTACATTCACATTCAGTGACACATATTCCCTGAATATTTCCAGTTTGTCTTATTAGGCATGGCAAGGATCCCAACACCAAACTGAAAATTAAGATGGAAAAAGGGCATTCCTGACAAACTCCATGTGGCATTTTAATTGCTAAGGAGAGAATTCCATTAGTGATTAATCAAGCAAAGGGACACTAAATTGATATCCAAGAAATAAATGCTATAGGAAATCTAAAATTCTTCATCACTTAAACCCAAAACTGATATGTATCATATCAAAAGGTTTTTTTTTCTGTAGCCAATGATACCAAAACCACAGATCCATCAATATCAGGATATAATATATCAACCAAGAGACTAATATTATCTGTGGCTTGATGCTCTTTCATAATTTCAAACTGTGCTATGCTATTGTGAATAATACCCTCTGTAATCTTAGGTGGCTGTTAAAATCTTAGTGTCAGCATTTAGCATTTAGCATTTAGTAAAGATATCAGGCAGTAGCTTGTACAATGCACTGGGTCCTTACCAGCTTTCAATGTTTATAGTTACATAAGCTTCATATGAAGCTGGCAGGGCCTTTTTAGTATATGACTCCTAATATATTTCCAACAATATAAACGCTACTCTCTCAATTTGGTGGGGGGGGGTATCATTTCATCTGCCCCTAGAGCCTCTCCAAGATTTCATTATATCAACAGTATCATAAATTTCTTGTAACGTGACTTTCTGGGGAAGGTGGCGGACTGAAGACACCTCCGTGTAAAGTGGAGCCGACGTCTGCAGACTTAAATAAGGAGCCAATTAATATATTGGCTCCTACGATTCTCTCTGGATAAGAGAGAGAGATGGTGAGATTGCCCAAGCTGTTTCTCCTTATGATTATTTCTTTTCCTCATGGAGAGACCGCAAGACAACCATCTCAGGTGTGGGGGAATCGGTAGACACGGGAATTATCCATAATTGCTTAAGCCACAAACGGAGCCTTTTTTTAAAGGACACTAAGTTCATACAACTTCCCTTGCTAACTACCTTCTAATTGCCTATTAACTACTTCAAAGAAGTTGTTGACCTGCAAAATGACAAGGCTGGAAATAGCTGATAGTGCCTTTAATCCTTAATATAAGAGTTTGAAGATTTATTTTTATAAATTTTAAGAATGTAAACAGCAAAAAGCAAGACAAGGTTTTGGCTACAGAAAGTTTTTAAACAGATTAAGGGCTCAGAAAGTGTTGGAAATTGGACTTTGAATATTAAGACTCTGAAATTAATCTTAAAGAATAATTGCATATTTGTAGAAATTGTTTTTGATACTGAAAACAAAGTAAGACAAGTAATTTAAAATGGTGTTTAGAAATATCTTTGAGGAACTAAATCGGGATATTGAATCAATTATGTCAGCTATGTTGTGTTTTTCTGAGAATAGTTTGTCTCAGAAGATGTTACAGAATAAGATATGCAGCAAAACTTACCCAAGGAAAACATGGATGAGAATCTGAAAAAGAACTTTTCACCAGACAAAAAGAAAAAACTGGATGAGAATTTGAAAATTAAGAAGGAAATAAAAATGACAATCCTAGAGAACAATTGGAATAATTTCTTTTTGTTGGAGTCACAAGAGACATTGTTTAAAGTACTGAAGAAAGTTCCAACAAAGGTCAACCACCATCTGAATGGATTACAGAGAAAGACTGTTTTGTATAGAAGAAAAAAGGAATATAAAATTGGTTTATTTGACCAGGGATGAAATGGGACATGCTGTTATTCTGGCTGGTTCTTTTTGGATTTGCAGATATCTTAACTGGAAAAAAAATGTCGTACACTGGATTTGTTTATACTTAATAAGGTGTTTAGGTTATTTCCTTTATTGTAATTTTATTTATCTTAATTTCATGGCACTCAAATTGGCTTTGTATTTAATCGTCTTTTTCCTTAAAGTAAGGAAGTTTGATCTTGTTTTGTTTAAAGGAGAAGCTATTTTTTCTGTTAAGCTAAATTTTAGTCTTTTGTGGATTTGCTTATAGTTTAGAGTTGAGATAAGGAATGTTTATCAGAATGGGATAAGTTGATATTTAGGGTAAAATGTTCTGTATTGGAGCTTGTCTTTTGTAAAGAAGAAATTGTCTCTTTTTATGTTAAACCTTTCTTTTATTTTGTTTATATTGGGATATTGGGACCATTTTATACCTTTTAAATGGGATTTTGTTTTAATTAAGAGTGGAGATGTGGAATGTTGAATTTTATATATTTAACTAATGTTAATATTTTAGAGCTCTGTTTGGAGTTTTTGCTGAGAATTGGATGGGAGTAGAGGTTACTTATTTGATTTGCCTATTGTCAAGAGATGGTTATGGGATGAAGAGTTGTATATTGGAAGAGGTGAAGTGATTATGGAATTGTTTATACTTGTCATGATTAGGGTCAGAAGTCATTTTTTTGGGGGGGAGGGTTTTGTTTTGTTTTATTTTCTTACAACTTTTTTCTTTTTTGTTTTCTTTCTTTTTTTGTGCTTGTATTCTTTTATTGTTCTATCTAAAACTCTTAATAAAATTATTGGAAAAAATTAATTTCCTATAACATTATAAGCTAAGCCCCTCAACTGTACAGACAAGATTTCTAGAAGATTTATTTACTTAAAAACAACTACCACCTACTCACTGGATATATCAGTATTCCCAGAGTGTAAATCTTGGTAAAATTCAAAACCTGAAAATTAATTTCATTGGAATGACTGTGAATTGTCTACATAGAATCTCTTATTATGGGTTTTGATTTTCAGTGTTTCAAGTGAGAGGCCAATAATTCCCAGATTTCCACTTGTCCTGTTCCCAATACAGTATATGTGTTTCATGTTTTAGAGAATATTCCATATTCAATACATGTAACTGATCTAATTTAATTTTAATTTGATTTTAATTTGATTTAATCTTTAAAATGTTTAAAAAATAAAAATTTAAACTTCATCTTAAGCATTATATTATTTATCATTAACTCATTAAAACACAGAACAATATATGTCAAAAATCCAGTGAAGTGCCATGGGGCTGTATCGTACGCTCTATGCTACTAAATATGTCTGCAGAAGACACAGAGCTGGGAGGGGTGATTTATACTTTAAATGAAAAAGAGAAGATTCAAAAAGTTCTAGGCAGGATACAATAAAATATCTATCTGTTGAGCAGTGGGCTGAAATGAATAGATGGAATTTGACAGGGAGAAAAGTATAAAGGGTTCAGGGTAGGAAAAATGAAAAGCATACATATAGGATGGTGGAGATCTAACTGTGTGAAAGGGATCTGAGTGTCATTACTGAATACAAGTCAAAGATAAGCCAACAGTGTGATGCAACTGCTAAAAAAGAAAAAGCTCTCTTTGGGCACATTAACAGGAACATAGAGTCTAGATCATGAGAAGTAATTATTTCACTTTACTCTGCCTTGGTCAGACCCCATTTAGAATACTATGTCCCATTCCAGGCACCACGACTCAAAAAGAAAAGTAAAAAATTGAAATGAGTTCAGAGGATATCTACTGTACTAAGGTGGTGAAGGTGCTGGAAGCAAGCCTTTATAAGGAATGGTTAAAGGATCTGGGTTTGTTTTGCCTACAGAAATTATAGCTAAGGGGTGTTATGATAGCAATCTTTTAATATCTGAAGGGTTGTGACACAGAAGAAGGAGTGGATTTATTTCTTATTGCCCAAGAAGGCAGCATAAGAACCAGTGGGTAAAAATTACAAGAAAGTATGTTCAGGCTGGAGGAATTTCCTGACTATTTTGAGCTATCAGCCAGTGGAACATGCTCCCAGATGAAGTGGTGAGTTCTCCTTTACTAAGATTTGGATAGTCATCTCTCAGAGGCAGTCTAGTGGAATCTGGCACTGAGCAGGGGGTTGGACTAAATAACCTTGAAGGTCCCTTCCAACTGTGTCATTCTATGATATCTGTATGAATGTATTATGGGGATAAAAGAAAAAGTAGAAAAATACTTTTGATTGACACTCACCCCAAAGTCTTATCCCAATTGCACCACAGTGTCTTCCTGAGAGTTTCCATGTCAGATTTAAATTTGCTGAGACAAAATTCCTCAATGAATTGTCCATAAGATCCATGGCATGCGGAGACCACAACAAAATGATGGGCTAAAGTAGAAAGGGGAAAGTGAAAAAGATTTTCAAAACAAGAAAAGGTTAGGATGAAATTACTTGATTCATGTATAAAAATTACCAATAGAAGAATATTGTAATCCCAGATAGATCTCCTTCTGTCATTTAAGCATTGTTGCCTACTTTCGAGTAAATAATCACTTCAGAGAAATGAAACATTATAGATATAGCTATAGAGCCACCAAATAGTTGTAATAAATATATATTATATTGCAGTGACTGAAAACATCTTTACAATTTTTCCAAATTTGGTTGTATGGAAATATAGTAGTTTCATGTTATTTATTAACGTATTCATAAAGCTCTTAAATTCAGAGGACATTGCACTGAAATTTCAGTAAGATAATCTTACTGAGTAATAAATCTTACTCAGAGGCTGAAGAATGTAATAAAACCATAAACAAAACTCACAGAACTATTCGAAAATCTAGTACAAGGAACAATCCTATAAAGGGCTTTTTATAGAAACTTGAGAAACAAGTATATCCAATCTGATATAGCCAGGTTACAGATTTATATGTCAACTCTTTATAAGTTTTTTCTCTCCCTGCAGAACAGCAATGCCTTGTAAGTATTCACAGCTTCAGAGGTTTCTTTCTAAGAAATGATAGGATTGCATGAAATGCACATGATGAAATCTAAAATCTAGATTACTGATGAAAACATTTGGTTTATGCTAAAACTGGTTTATACTGAAATAAGTGTTGATTCATATCTATTGAGGTTTGGCTCCTAGAGATCTGTTTGTTTCCCACCCTGATGATTTTCTGGAAGTCTTTAAAAACTTGGCTGTTCTCCCAGGCCTTGGGGTACGATGCTTGTGTTGGTTATGTTTTCTGTTATAGAGAGTGTATTTGTTCTGACGCATGGGATTTTCTTTATTCTTTGTTTTCTATTTTTAGTATGAACCACCCAGAGTCATTTTGGAGTTGGGCAGCCTCTAAATTTCATAGAAGAAAACAAAACAAAACAAAACAAAATAAAAATTATTTATAAGTTTCCTAACTCTATCAGTACCCTCCATATAGCTTGTAAATCAGTGGGATGTAAGCAACAGTAGGGTGTCTTATAAATTAGTCTCTAGATTAGAAATCCTAATTTGCACAGAATAAAACAGGCTGTTAGCAGTGAATGCTGCATATGGCACAATACAACTAAACTGGTAATCTAGTCTATTTTTATTTCCTTTCACTAAAAAGTGGAGGCTTGGATTGATCACAAATCATGATAAGCAGCAAAGATTAAGATCTTTGGACCCATATGGACCATGGCATATGGAAGACTGAAACTAAGAATGTAACAGAAATAAATGGTAATGAGAATGAATTAAGGAATGAAAAGAAGAAAAAGGCATATGATGTATGTCTGTGACATTAAAAGACAATGGAAGGATACAGTATATTTGAATGAAGATAGACTGAATTTTGTGGGGTGGAGTTAATGAAACGTGTGGAATTATAGGTTTCATTATGGACTGATTATTAAAAATGTATGTCACAAAGAATAACACAGTGTCATCTAGATAGGTGATTATTGCATCTTAAGTTCCAGTGAATGATGACAATGTAAGGATGAAGGGTGAGTTTGGGGGAAAATTGTACTATGCTCAGAATGAATGTGATCCAGGGTCGGGGAGGGAACAAGGTAATTTCAACCTTTTATGCCTTGTTCTACTCTCAGTTTCAACACATAACAAGTCTTTCCCTACTTGCCTTTTAGGTATCTGTAGGCTACTTATCTCCCCTTAGTCTTTCCTTTTGCAAGCCAAGATATCTAATTAGCCAATTCTCAGACTCCTCCTCACTCTGCAAGCTCTACTCTAAGCCCACTCCAACTTTATCATGTCTCTTTTAAGTTATGGTGCCCAGCACTGGACAAAGTACTCCAAGTGTGATGTACCCAGCATAGAATACAATGGTACTACTTTCCATTACCTAGATGCAATTTTTCTGTTAATACAATTCAAGTGTATATCAGCCTTTTTAGCTGCTGCATAATATTCCTTGTTTGCGTTCATTATTTTGTTCATATTAATGTTCTTGTCCCATCACATCCACTGGGACTGCTAAATCCTATTCACAAGTATTACCACCAAGCCAGGTCTCCCCAGTTCTGTACCTATGCATTTGATTTTTCCTACCCATTTGCAGGATCATTATTCACTATTAAACATCATCCTGTTAAGCTTGGTGCAATGCCCAAGCCTGTCAACATCATTTTGAATTATGATTGGTGTTAGCCAATCCTCCTAGCTTGATTATATCTGCAAATTTAATAAACCTCACTTTCCATCCTCTAGATTATTATTTTTTTTATTTCACAATTGTTTATACCACCCCAATCATGGCATTTGTAAGGACAGTGTTGAAGATGGAACCTTGGGGATTCCACTTGTTAATTTCTCCCAGGTTGATAAAAAACCATTAACAAGCACCCTTTTAGGTGTTTAACCAGTTACATATGACCACATCACAATACTGGCCCACTAGCACTCTATCCCACATTCATCCAGCTTGTTTACAAAGATATAATGAAATATTTTGTTATATATTTTATTGAAATAAAGGTACATTTTACATTTCCTTGTTCTACTAAACTGTCATCAATTGAACTGAAGCAGCTTCCAAGGTGGCGACTGGGAGCAAACATCGGTTGCTGCGCTAGGCTAGGTGAGGCAAGGCAAAGTGTCAGGTTTACGATGTTCAAATCCCAGTGAAGAAAAATCTCGTGCAACCCAGGTTAGGTTCAAAAAAGATTTCATTTATTGGAACAGTACCTGTAACACTAAGCAAAGCATTGCTGAAACTAAAGCCCGCTCTTTTCCCTCCTTACTTTTTGCCCCAACTTCTCACCCCTCTCTTCCTAGGTGCCAGTTCTCTTTCCCACAGAGGTGTGACCTTGCACATTCCTATCTCCCGATAACAGTCCATTTCAATCACACCAATTCCTTCTACTTTCCTTCTCCCCCCTCTCCCCCCTCTCCCCTTTTAACAAATGGCAGAAACGAAGCAAGCAACTACTAAGCTAATATTTTGATTGCTGAAGGTTCTGACACAAAGGTCAAGGTGAAGGCAAGGGGGATGATAATTGCAGCTGCGTTAGGTTTTTACCTGGCTGCCCTGGGGTTCTTTTGCACCAGTCTGTGAAGTTTGGGGATGCCTTGGTCCTGTGGGCCCAGTGAATTGAGCAGCGCAGCAAGCAACCCAAGGTCAAATGGCGCAATGGGCGGTTGGAGCCAAGTGGGACAGCGAATGGCCTGAAATGCCAGGTGGTGCCTGGCAGAGCTTGATGGAGCTTGGGGGAGATTGGCGGAGATTGGCAAAGCTGGGCTGCACAGCTGAGCCAGGCTGCACAGCTGAGCGGCACAACAGATGGTATAGTGAGCAGCCTGAGGTCAAGCAGTGCAGTGGGTATCGCAAATCGAGTGGCACAGCAAGTGGCTTGTAACACTGGGTAGTGCCCAGTGGAGCCTAGCAAAGGCTACTGGGGCTCGGTGGAGGCTGGCAGCAGCTCGGCGGAGGCTGGCAGAGCCAGGTTGCACAGCTGAGTGGTGCAGCGAACAGCACAGTGAGTGGCCTGAGGTGAGAGATGCAGTGAGTTGCCCAAAGGGAGGCCTGGTCTGCAGTGGCCTGGATAAGGCCGAAGTGAGGCTGGGACAGTTCAAACAGCCAAAAGTTTGCCAGATTGGTGCCTGTGATGGACTGGAATGGAGGAAGGGGGGTGAAAATGGTGCTCTTGTCTCCAGAC